CAGTCAGTCAGTCAGTCAGTCAGTCAGGCCGGCAGTCAGTCAGTCAGTCAGTCAGTCAGTCAGTCAGTCAAATTAAAAAAATATTCAACACATAAATATCCAAGACGTTTAACACAGATATTCCTGCGCCGTCGCTTACTTTCTACGCAAAGTGTTCCAAGTTCAAAGTTACCATATCGTTGACATGTTGGAGTGACGTGAAATCTTGTTATTGCTGTATATCTTTCTTCCAGAGTGGTTTTTGTGTTGCTCCAGGTCTTTATCCAAGAGCTAGAGATCATGATTATATTTTTCCTCGAGTCTCCATTCCTTCTCATGTCATAACCAGAATATTTTTAATATTAATTCAATTGTTGATGATAAGGTCCACTGGGATGTTCGTACAGTGTCCTGTAGTACCGTCGGACAAAAATGGTTTCGTAGAAAGAAAACAGAAGACCACCGAACTTAGTGGCGATTTAGCTGTAGATATGGCAGTAGAAATAGCTAGGCACTCGCCAGTGATGGCGCACAATCCGGATTAGAACTTCGCCACAGGGTTCGCAAAAGACCGGTGTAAGATATGTTGGTATCGTGGATTGGTCAGGAGATGACACCCAAATAGTTATGCATTTTCCTTCGTTTATTTTAGTGCAACACCCATTTGAAACGCTTCGAAAGTTTGCATCAGCGATGACCAATCTTACCTATCCACGTCTTGAAACGGGCAGAATTGCTATTTAGGGCAGCGCATTTCCTGAAATATTTTATTTAATAATTTTGCAACCTTTTTTCAAGCATTGTCATAGGAGATTTGATGGCGATAATACGAAAGTTATAGCAGCGCTGCACATAGCTCATTAATAATATTTTTACTTCGTATTTGGCAACGCGAATGTTTTACTGCCTTCTTTTAAAAAAAGGTAATGTTATGCACGATGTGATCGAAAAGTTAAATTCATTACGCCCACAAATAACTTGATGTAACACTATAATTCTACCGACTTTTTTTATTGATTACTACCATTTACTGTCATAATCATAATGGTTTGATTTACCTGATTTTGTCTTCGATTGAACATAGCAGGTTGCAGTCAAGAAATTAAAAAAATTCATTATATTTCAGATGATAGAAGTTAATAAGTTGATCCTTCAGGAAGTGAGATACGTCATTCTCCTTTTGACTGCCAGTTTTGAAACAAACTTCTATAACGTATTTGGTGCATCGAATCACGAAATGAAAGAATTATATGTTAGTAGAATCACACGAAAAATTAAAATTAATGAATAATTTGCATATCAGAGCAATTGAGTCTTCTTCATTGTTCAGTGATTTTATCAATAGCTAAATCGGATCGATGCGAGATAAATGGCTCAAGAGCCTATGTCATATCGGAGAAATCTGACAATGTGTGCACATCCCAGCTTTTTAGAGGTGGTCCACCATGAGATCTTCAGCTAATTGCATCAGGAGGTCGAGTAAAAAAATCCAAACGATATGTTGGATTTTTTCAGCATCACATTTAGCAAAACGTTTTGGATTTCTACTTTTGGGTGTGAATCGACACAAAAATCGAATGCCGTCAAAATAGGAGAACCGGAGGATAGCTGCTATGGAGCTACCGAGAATCTCAACGTCATCTTGTGATATATTTCTTCTCATATCGTGGTAGCTCGATTTACATAGCAGGTCGAGTTCCGTGTTAAATAAGCTGATGCTGTATTTTTCAGAAGGCTCCATCGGAATGCACTTTGAATCCCACTTTTCGCGGCTTTGTTTATGTCCTGATTTCCTTGCCAACCATTGCTTTCTGTCTTGTTATGTTTGCCATCGAAATAAACGCGATAAGTTATACTGAGTTCACTGAAGCACGGTTTAGGGTGAAGAGAATCAGTGATCAATAACAGAAGATTTATCCGCCTGTGGGGTTTAAAACCAATAGCTCAAATTTGCAAGCAACCTATTAGCCATTTGCGTCCCTGTTCCTCCCCTTTAATGTGATATCATGCTGAAACAACATTTATTCTAAAGAAAATCACTTACAAAAAATGACATAAGTGTTGCATTAAAACCAAAGTTAACAAAGGTAGACAAAAGAAAAGAAATAAACACTAATAGTCATCTTCATATTCTTCATCTTCCATCGCTGCTTCTCCTTTCGGGTCGCGGAGA